ATCCCTCCTGCCCAYGATCTGGATGGTGCAGTGCTGAGAGATGCCCATGCCCAGCCTTGCAGGGAGAGGAAGAAATGTGCAGCTGGAAATCAGCTGATGGTCAGAGATGGTGTGAGCTCTGCCAGGGCAGGGGCGAGCAGGGGGACTTTAGTTGCCTTCAGCTGTAATTTTAATCTGACCTGAAGTGCTACTGGGATTGTTAGGCAGAAACCCGGGGCTATGGAGGTGGGAAGAGCCTCCTGCACGTGCTCTGGTCCAGCTCCCCTACCCTTGATCAAGGTCACCCAGATCTGGCTGCCCAGGATCATGTCCAGTTGGGATTTTCGTGTCTTCAAGAATGGAGACTCCACAACTTCTGCAGGCAACCTGTACCCACCTTCAGCTGCCCTTCCTATAATAAAGTTTTTTCTCTTGTTTAAATTAAATTTCCAATGTAGGTACTGCTAAGTATAAATCAAAGGAACAACCCAAAGGATTCTTGGCAGCGTATCCTGGAGAAGAAAGCAGATTTAAGTTCCTTACTTGCAGCCATACTCCACCCGGTACTGGTTCCATCCTCTCTGGAGCCCTTGGGTGTTGATTTATCCTCAGGATGACTCTTCCCTTTGGCCGTGTTTCTGTTTGCCATCTGCCAGGACAGCCCAGATCTGTGCCACGTCCTTCCACAGCCACGTTGCCTGGCGCAGCCTGTGCCCAGCTGTGCAGTCCTGTCACACAGCAGGGAGTTCTTTTTGCTGCTGGTGCTGCAGGGAGGCTGTKTCCCACCAGGCAAGCACTGGCATCTGCAGGAGGGCACCAGCCAAGTGARTCACTGGCACTGCTCTTCAGCTTTGTGCCTGCACCCAGACACAACCCACACCTTCCTGGTGAATCAAAAACCAGTTACAGGTCGGTGGCAGCACACCCACAGAGTGGATCTTTTGGAGAAGAAAGTGGGTCATTACTGGGATGCTTCTGGGAAGAGACCAGTATCAGTGGGAAGGAAAGGCAGGGGAGCAAAGCAGGGGGGAGAAAGAGAGGGAAAGAGCAGAGAGGCCCTGTGGCTGTCCCTGCCATTGGCAAATTGCTTAATGAAGTCACGAGAATAATTAAACCCCCCCAACTAAACCAGGTTCCAATAGCTCAGTTCCTGTACCAGACCTGCACTGAGCCCTAGCCCACATCTTGCYCCAGACTTTTTATGCCACTAATGACAGAACTCTGAAGAGAAGGTACTTGCAGTAAACACAAAATCTGTGATCCAGAGACTGACATCAATTAATGAAAATAATCACTGCTTTAAAATTAGGCAGTGATGGAGGCAAATACTTGACTTGTTGGGTTTTGCCCCTTCAAACATCCTTTGTTGTGCAGTTTAGGAAACGTAATATCAGAAACTTATTAGGGAAAAAAGGAGTGAAATTATGTGAATGACAAAGGATGGATGGAACAAAGACAGGGTGAGCTATCCAGGCCTGTTTTAACCTTTAACCTTTCTAAGCTGCTGCACCTGCTTAGAAATTTAATCTAGTCTTAAAGCAACCTGGCCTGGCTGAAGCTAAAAGGAACAGAGGAATTAAGGCCATGGCCACGGTCCATTATAATACACCTGTAGTACRCCACCCTTCCCTGGGCTTGTCACACCCCTCCGGCTCCCTGGCTTAGCCAAGGCACAGGAGTTTTGTGTTTTATAAACYCCTCTGACTTCCTAAAACTCTGTTCTGCATCTCTTGCAGAGCTGGGTTGATGGCAAATGGTGACAGAAAATAAACTTTGTCACTGCTATGGATGCAAGCAGTGTGGTATCTGAAACCCTCAAAAGGATGCCTTGGGGTTACTCCTGAGCCCTGAACTAGAAAAAGCAGCTACTCTCTCATCTTCAAAGTCCTTCTTGCAGCAAAGCTAAAAGAATCACTCACAGAACACCTACTTAGTTGTAAATTGACTTCTCAGCCCCCAGTTAGATGCAGTAGTTCTCCCCACCACCACCATTCCTCCTCTTTTAATTTGTCTGTGGTCCAGTCAGGGTTGCTCCAGGTCCACGTTTCGCCTGGAGTGCAGTGTAGGTGAAATAGGAGCTTGACAATCCTGCACTTTGTTTTCTCCCGGCACAGGTTGGAGAGGAAGAAATAAGAACTCCTTTCGTGCAAGGAGTGCCCCCTAAYGGCCTAGTGAAGAATCCCAAAACCCCACAGAGCCTGGGGTCTTGGCCTTTATTCCCCATACACACGAGTATGTGAAATCACATGCCCGTATTTTCACTTAGATTGAAATGCAAGGCTCTTTCATGGCCTGTCTGCCCATGAACCGCACTTCAAGGCCAATTTTACGCAGAGTCTTTGTATATGTACAATGTAAAATACATGTATATGTACAAATGTAAAATACATTTGTATTTTAAAAAATAGTTTCTTCAAGCCCAAGGCTTCGAGACAGCTGTAGTAACCCAGATATGAGTAAGAACTTGGGTATTCCAATTTGGARTGTAAAATTGATGAATGCTGCCTATCTGCCAAGGAGCAGCTGCTGCAAACCAGYGGTTTCACTGCTGCCTTCACCATGTCAGGCAGCAACAATCGTGCTCGTAGGGGGATGTAGGTCAGGTACAAGCTCAGGAGGACACCCAGTGCAGCTTTTTAGTGGCCTTTCAATTTTAGTTGACAAAATTCAACTAAATGTGCAGACATGGTGTTCTAGGATGACCAGGTCCAACAGTGGTGAAGCAAATTGCTGTGGTGGCAGTTCCTGTGCATCATCCCACCAATAACATGGATTGCTCCAACCACTTGGAAGACATGTCCATCTGGCTTTTTCCTCAGAAATTTGCTGTTGATTCCTTCTTGCTGTTACCCTTCAGTGAAGTGTATCCTCCTTTACCAGAAGAGATGCTGTGTGTATCAAAAAGTGAGGGAACTGAGGGGCTCCAGAAGAAGAAAGGAGGAAGAAAACCTGAAGAAGAAGAAAACCCTCACAAGCCATTTAGTCTATTGCACATGCTCCTGCTGCACCAAGGGAAGTTTGAATAGCTACTTTGCATCTCAGGAATTTCCTACTTGTCCAGTCCTACTTGTGACTAAGCCCTCTTTAGCCTTGGATTTTGCACTAGATTATTACCTTGTGGCCCCTCCTTATGCTGGTCCAGAGGCAGGTCCCATACAGCCTGTTCYAAAGGAACCATTTTTCTCTGGCTGCTCTCTTGGGAATTGTTCCTAGAAAGGGGGCTCAGGTGATGGGTTCCTGATCACACACCCTGAGCAGCAGGGCCTGCCCCCACCTTAGACGTAAATAGCCTCCTCATCAGCTTATGCACAGGCATTAGGGTTGAACTTGCTGTGAGAATATGCTTCCCATGTGACCCAGATATCCCAGCTGAAAACAAATAGTGGTTGGACTACTGGAAATGCTAAAGGAGGGATGAATACACATTATTGTTTTTAAAACAGGTTATAAAGCAGACTAAGCAGACTAATTAGCAGATTAATTCAATTGTATATCTTCTTGCAAGATACTAACACATCAGTAGTCCTGAAAAAATTCTTCCTGCTGCTTCATTGGAACTCAAGTATTATGAAAACTTCCTAGATAACATTTTCATTAACCAAAAATTACTTAATAATATTTGACCTTCAAGAATTCTTGCCTGATAACCAGTTTCAAGGCAAGTAAAAAGCAGTCTCCTATCACAATAATGAAAGAGCCAAGTGACCCCCACTTGGCTAGTTTTAACTTCCGGAACTCCTGTCTGAATCATTTGGAGCAATTCTAACGGGACACCACAAGATGAGACCGTTTTTTCCTTYAGTTTGCAGAACCTCCTGTTGACAAACAGCACACACATGCTTGACCCCCTTCCATAGCGCTTTGCCTCAGAAATCAAGTCTATGAACTTGTTTCTCAGATTTCCAGCCAGGCAACTTACTCTGCACTTCAGTGAAGCGTGTTTGTTCAAGGCTCACTMACAGCCTGTGTTGTTCCAGGCAGTATCTAAACTCACTCAAGGACAAAGTCAACTGATAGAGAAGATGAAATTTCTCACCTTTGACCAAATTTGGCAGCATATTTTATAAACATACTGGTAGTCATTGTTATCATTGTGGGTAGGACATTGTATTCAAGTACAACATTTTACAGAAACAGCATTCATAGTAACATACCCAAAATGAAGGTGGCCATGACCGATTAATAACAGCCTGTAATAAGCAGCAGCTGCAGAGTCTTCCTCTCTGGATAAAAGAGATCTTGGCAGTGGAATACTTCCTTGTAAAAACATATGACAGAGGTGCTGTTTTTCCATAGCTGATCCAGAATTGCTCAATTGTTTGGACAAAGATCTATTTTAGGACATTTGTATATAAGGGACAGACTTGCCTACAGCTTAAGCCCCACCCCCCTGCAACAGGCTACACTATTCCACTAAATTCCTCACTTGTTTTCTGCTTGTTGTTAAAATGAACAATTTGGAAGTAAAAGAAGACGTTAGGAAAAATCCCCACATGTAACAATACCCACAATGCTTCTCCTTTACTCCCTTCTGTTACAATAGGAAAGACAAATGAGGACACTGCACAGAACAATTGTAATGGAAAATATCTCTCAAAAATGCTTCACGATGTGAGAGACCCTTTGTGGTGCAAATGTCATCCTCATCTTAAAAACATACAATAGTAAAAATATTTCTTGATAGTCCTGTCCCTGAAAATGTCAAGTATCATTGGCAATACTGATAGATGCAGMTTTAAGAAGGAAGTATGGAAAATTAACACGGCAAAGGAAGTTTTAGCATCAGTATTTGTAAAATTTTTCACAGTAGTGCAGCAATAGTGAAACTGTTTTTAAAACAGGATGGAGAAAGCAGAAGATGATGCCATCTGTATTCCCCAGCACCTGTTTCTACAGGCAAATTTAAGAAGGAAAAGTGTTAATACAGAAAGGCTCAATTAAACCAGACTCTTACCAAATATATAGGTGAACCCACTGGTAACACAAAAYGGCCAAGCTTAATGGAATTTCAAACTTTATTTTAAGTATTTTAAATTTATTTTAAGTATGCAAGAACAAAGTGATTTACATTAAACTTCTTTAGTGTCAACATTTTTTAAAAAATCACAGCATTTAAAATGAGTTAAGAGAGCAGCAGTAATATGGTAAACATGTACGAACCCGGCTGATACAGCCATTTAAAATTATAGTAACAAGATATAAAACGATTTGGTTTAAAAACTATTTATACAGAACAATTTTTATGCTTAAGCAAATATATTTAAGATCAGTAAAACTGATTAACCCATGAAGTACCTCAGTGCAGCAAGCGAACATTTCAGGAAGCTCATATAGAAGACACATGGGCCTGGWATTCACAATTGTTGGTGGCACAATGGCTTTGGTACTGACTGGCCTGCTAACCACCMAGCTGGCGGGCTTCCCAAAGAAGCAAAATAAAGACTGCCAGGTAATGTCACTTTAATCCTAATTTGTCCTGTATAGCACCGGAGCTTTAACTGGGAAATCATGGAAGCTTTCATGATATGTCCAGGAACAGCCTTTGCCAGTATTCCTAGCAGCGTACCACACAACTTTTACTAACTAGTGGAGGATATGGACGTCAGTTACAGCTTTCTGTTGTTTTATGCAAGACAAGAATCAAGATGTTCATTTATTTCAGATTCCAAAACTTCAGTCTCACAGACAGGACAAGGGACTTTTCCATTCTGCCTCACAGGATTGCTAGGACTTGCAGAGGACTGTGTAAATTCAGCTTTGGTTTTTGTAGTTGTAGTGACATCAGTACCACCCTTTCTGATGAAATAATTTTCAAAGGCAGTTTTGTCTTCCATTTTTGGCCATCGCTGCAGTGTATTAGCACATTCTAAGCTTTTTTTCTCAGATGCACCCTGAGCTGTTTGGGTCTGCTCCAAACGCAYTTGTTTTGGTGTCCAGTTAGGAGATGGCACAGCCCTCTTGTCAGCTGGTGAGCCTTGGCTTGATGTTTCTCCAGCAACACGAGCCATCCTAGCAGGCAATCCACAGTCRTTCTCGTAATCTTCAGTATCAGAAGCAGAGGATTTTGGAAACTGACGCTTTAAGGCCAAGTTGATCTTCTCATGGGCACCATCAGTATGAAGTGGAAAGATGGAACTATGGGGAAGTTTTTCCCGTTTTGTYTCATTTTTAGGGATTGACATTGTCCTTACTGCTGAATGATGCTGTGAGCCATGTGCTTCACTGTTTCCAATGGTACTGCTGGCATTTGTGTTTTTTTCTGAAAGTACCCTGTCTCCTCCTCCAAGCCGATATCCTATTCCACTAAATGGCATCAGGTCTTGCATACCATGTGTTTGTGTCTTGCCTGAAAAATCAGATTAAAAAATAAGTTAATAACTTTTCCATTAAAAAATCAAGGGCTTAGTATTTGAGGTACTTCACACAAAAACTATCAGCTGCTTGAAAATAGTGCATCAAACTACACTTCTTGCAGACAATTTAGTCGAGGAGCAGCCTAGAAATTTATCAAACAGACCCTGTTCTTTGGCTACATAACAGTAAAATCTAAACAAAGCTTATATAGTGTTTGATGCATACTCATTCAAGAAAATGTTTGCACAAAAACCAGTTTGGGAAAGAAAAAGATTTCATAAAATACCTTTGTTACTTGACTTTAAATGTGGAAGTTTTGCTGGCTGAGTTTTCTGCTTGGACTTCTGTGAGAATTTCTCTGGCTCCTTGATTTTTGTGAATGTGCCCCCACATGTCCTTTGATGTTCATCCCACCAAAAGTCTTGTGCAGAGGGTGCTCTGTTCATCGAGCGCTTCACATATCCAAAGTAGGGCGCTCTGTTCTGGCAGGGGCCATTGCATCGCCACCAGTGCTGGCGGTACAAATTTACCTCATCATAAAAATTGTGATAGATCTAAGTTAAAAAAAAACAAACAAAACAAGCAGTCATTCAGGTAGTTTCAAACTCTATATCAACAGCTCTATAGTATTTTTTAAAAAATCTCTTTCCATTCAATTCCTTTCACTACTGCTGCGATTTTTATATTACCTGTTAAAAGAGCTGGGCCTGAATAAAATTTGATCAACATTTTGCTACCAYTAAAACAAAGTTWAAAAAAAAAAAAAAGATAGGATGTGTACAAATATGTCCTAGTTATCTTGTTTGAGCTGCRATAAAATCACTTTGGAAATCTATCTACAATCCCATCTAGAAGACAAACTGTTTAGAATGTATCGCGAACAATACCAGTATTGTATTCTTCTTTCAGCTATTACCTTCACTGATCTTATTAAACACGTTATTTTGAAATAYTGACATAAATATCATCACCCTCTATGGACATAAATCTTGACTGCTCTTTCCCAAATTCTGCTCTAAATGTAGAGCTATTCTGTCCCTGCTAGCATTAAGCTGCTTCCAGTTTACCGCAAAAGCTTAAAGAAAAACTCTTACATAAAATATACCTGATCATTATATGACTAACAACTTGTCACATCTTCCTCAACCTGTTCCCACCACCATCCCCAACAAAATAACTATGGAACTGGCACACATTTAGATGCAAATTTGTAATGGTACCAGCTGTAGAGTGTCTAACATGGACATTACTCACACTGCACCAGACAACTTAAACACCAGATTAGAAGAAAGCTCTAGTAAATCAGGTGAAGAGGATTTTTCTTACTGTGACATTGGCTCCAGTCAAGACATTAATRCGATGCATGTGCTTGCAGAATTCCGGTCCATGAGACTGACGATCTTTGAAGTTATGAGTAACAAAGAGCAGGGCATGGATCATTTCRTGCAACAGCGTCTGAAATGATGTAATCATTAGATGTTTACAGAAAAGCATTGTATTTTCAGTTTCATAATTAAGCTGTAAGTATTTTACTCCTCTACATTGATTGCTGATCTTATTTTTGATTATTTGCATTTTCAGTCTGGGCCTGAACATAGTACTTAGATTTATCAAACCAAATTAACCCTATTCCCATACCACTAAAACATACTGGAGAATATCACTACAATAAGCAGTATTCTAAAAAGTAAAAATAATCCTCAAACTTAAGTCACATCTTTAAGGAGACCATCCCCTATACAACCCCAAAAAAGAGCCACTTTTGAGCAAGCTGAAACTTTACAGCATTTCTGTTCTTAGGCAAATCTAAASGTTCAGCCAGCTCAAAGCAGGAGCTCTGGCAGAGGCACAAGAAGCAACACAAAGTCACTTCAAGTCATATCCTATATCCTTATTTTCTGCTGTTGGCCCTTTTAAAACTACAGTCCATGATGACTTTAGACTCTGACTTGGGAGTTGCCCACTTAGAAACATAAAACTAAAGATTACTGTGATACTGCTACACAAGCCACACAAACATAACAGTAAAGCCACCAGKATTTTATGATCTATAAGTTATTGCATATGAGAATCCCACCATGAAATCTAAAATATCTGTGTGGAGCAGAGGAAGCACAATACACTTCATGAGCAAATTCATGAGSAGTGTTCAAATACCTCCACAAGATCCTTCCTGGGCCTTAACTTTAGAAGCGGCTCACTGAGACGAATGGAACACAAACCACTTCTTTCATGATATGAACAGACACCAGCAGAGCTGAAAACAAAACAAAAAAAAAATTACGAAAATCTGTTTGTTTCTGTAGCACATGAAGAAAATTGAGAATTTAAGTTAAAATGCCATCCCCTGTAAACACACACTAGGTCATTCAGAACACAAAAAAAAAATCACTTTGAGTAATTACTTGAAAAAGTCAGCATCATTAAGCAAGGGGAAAACAAAATCCACATGTTCCTTAGAGYACAAAAACCTGTTTTGGAGGCAGAAGACTGTTTCCTTAAGAACCTGTGATGGTGTGAAATACATTAAATTGAGGCTGGAGACTTACAGCAGCAAACACTGAAAACTGCTGGTGCCTTTAATTTCACTCCCCACCCTCCCTCAACTTTTGACTCATATAGAACCTTCACATACCTTCACTTCAGTGCACTAATCCAGCAAAACCCACTTTTTGTGCATGTGTGTGAGTTAGTCCTCTACCACTGCAATATCCAACTATTTTCAAACGTCTAAAGAATATTGCAACCAGCAGAAGATAAGAGGGGCAGGACTCCAGCCACTGGCAATTGTATCYGCTGCAGAACTGCAGACTACACTTCTAAGATTCCTGGTTTTGTTTAACCTCAAATTTCTTCTATATCCCCCTTTCTAGTACATTCTAAGTTTTGCTAATATACTACTATTGGCTCATATTTGCCTTTCTGCAACAAAACTATCATAAAAACTGAGAACCAGAGCAGCAACACAAGTACATGAGGTTTACACACACACCATCTAAGACCAATTTCTTCCATGTTAACATCGCTATGCCTGCACCCCGGGAAAAGCCAGRGACGACAGATGAAACGCAAAGGAGATAACGACAGCGATCAACCTCTGTCCCGGTGTACGGGCTCTGCCAGAGATGCGGGACATTCAAGTATCCGGGAAGAGAAGCCATGGCACCAGCACTGCGCTAGCGGGGCACAAGCGGCAGCTCTTCCCCGCCTCCCCGACACTCGGAACCGCATACCAAGGCTGGCTGCGGCTCCACGGGTGACAGCGCCTTCCCACCGCCCCGGCACCGGCRGAAACACAAGGATCAGCCTCCCAGCCGCCTTCCCGGCCCTGGCGACCGCCCCCCATACAATCCCCAGCCCCCGGGAGAGGGGACGGGGCAGCCCCGGGAGCCGAGCCGGCGCTGTGCCACGCAGCCCCTCGGTGCCGCACCTGGTCATGCGGGGGCTCCAGGACACCGTGACAGCCTCCAGCTTCCCCCAGAAGAGCGTTTGGTTGAACTGCACGAACAGGGCGTGCACGTCGGGGCTGGGGTCCAGCAGCTCCCAGGCCTCGTCCACTACCGACAGCGGGCGGAGGGACGAGCGATACGGCGAGACATCCGGGCGCTTTGCTGCTGCCGCCGGCGCCTCTGCCGCTGCTTTGTCCTGCTCTTCCCACTCCTCCTGCAGCCTGAGCGCCAACAAGAAATCCTCATCCTCCATCCCGAGCGCCGCTCCCGTCCTGCGTCAGTGCCACCCCCGGCATCCACTGGCGCCGCGGCGCACGCGCAGCAGCGATCCGCGGGTTGCTGTGTCCTTCCGGGCTGCGCGCGCGCCCTGCCCCGCCCCTCGCGTCGCCGGCGCGTCACCGCGGGCATTGGCTCCCGCCGCCCGAGCCGCGGGGCGCAGGCGCGGTGTCCCCGGCGGCGGCGGGGCGATACTGGGCGGCGGCAGAGGCTGCGCCGCGGCCATGGCGCTGTCGCTGGGCGAAGGCGGCGGCGGGAGCCGGCTGCGGCGGCAGCTGGAGTCGGGAGGCTTCGCGGCGGGGGAGTACGTGAAGCAGTTGTCGCAGCAGTCAGATGGGGACCGGGACCTGCAGGAGCACCGGCAGCGCATCCAAGCGCTGAGTGAGGAGACGGCGCAGAGCCTGAAGCGCAACGTCTACCAAAACTACCGGCAGTTCATCGAGACGGCGCGGGAGATAAGCTACCTGGAGAGCGAGATGTACCAGCTCAGCCACATCCTCACCGAGCAGAAGGGCATCATGGAGGCCGTCACCCAGGCCCTCCTCCTCCAGGCCGATCGCGACGACCCCGCGCTGGGCGYCCGCCGCGCCGCCGCCGCCGACCCCTTCCTCCCGCTGTCGGCCAAAGATGCGGCGGCCAACGAGGAGGGGCGGCAGCGCACGCTCACCACCCTCCTGGAGAAGGTGGAGGGCTGCCGCGACCTCCTGCCCGAGAGCCCTGGCAAGTACCTGGTGTACAACGGCGACCTGGTGGAGTACGATGCCGACCACATGGCGCAGATCCAGCGGGTGCACGCCTTCCTCATGAATGACTGCCTGCTCGTGGCCACCGCCCTGCCCAACCGCCGCGGCGCCTACCGCTACGATGCCCTGTACCCCCTCGACGGGCTGGCCGTGGTCAACGTCAAGGACAACCCGCCTATGAAGGACATGTTCAAGCTGCTCATGTTCCCCGAGAGCCGCATCTTCCAGGCTGAGAACGCCAAGATCAAGAAGGAGTGGCTGGAGGTGTTGGAGGAGACSAAGCGCAACCGTGTCCTCAGCGAGAAGCGCCGCCTGGAGCAGGAGGCCCTGCCCCGGCCCGCCCCAATGCCCCCCGAATCCACCAACCCCTTCGACGAGGATGAGGACGAGGAGGAGGAGGACGAGCCCTCTGCGGAGGAGGAGGTTGTTGACCTCTCGCTTGAGTGGATCCAGGAGCTGCCTGAGGACCTGGACGTCTGCATCGCGCAGCGGGACTTCGAAGGGGCGGTGGACCTGTTGGATAAACTCAACGARTACCTGGCGGACAAGCCAGTGAGCCAGCCCGTGAAGGAGCTGCGGGCCAAGGTGGATGAGCGCGTCCGGCAGCTCACCGATGTTCTGGTGTTTGAGCTGTCCCCAGACCGCTCGCTGCGAGGAGGGCCGCGGGCCACCCGCCGAGCCGTGTCCCAGCTCATTCGCCTGGGCCAGTCCACCAAGGCTTGCGAGCTCTTCCTGAAGAACCGGGCAGCCGCGGTGCAGACGGCCATCCGCCAGCTGCGCATCGAGGGCGCCACGCTGCTCTACATCCACAAACTCTGCCATGTCTTCTTCACCAGCCTTCTRGAGACGGCCAGGGAGTTTGAGACTGACTTCGCCGGCAACAATGGGTGCTACTCCGCCTTTGTTGTGTGGGCCCGCTCGTCCATGAGGATGTTCGTTGATGCCTTCAGTAAGCAAGTATTTGATAGTAAAGAGAGTCTGTCAACTGCGGCAGAATGTGTCAAGGTAAGAGGATCCAGAGAAGGTACTGGSACACAATAGCCAAAACAAAAGCTTCAAAGCGTTAAATTCAGTTTTCTATCCATGGTTTAGTTATTGACTCTTGTGCAGGTCTCCAGAGAGGATTCCTACATTGGAAGGTTAGTATTCAGTTGAGGTTGATTTGGTTTTTTTTTCAATTTAACAGAGGAAAGCCTTAAGATTAAAATGCAGATAAAACTCTGCCTTTATCAGGAATGCAAAATGTGTTTATTTTCAATTTGCCTTTAACTTGTAGGAGGTCCTAAAATTTACGTAAGCTACATCTGAATTATAAGTACTTCAAAAATTTCTCTTTGTTTTCCAAGGGTGTCCAGAAYTACATCTTCAAATTTTATTGCAAGATTAACTTTCTCAGGTTGTGCTGATTGGAGGGGGAGAAGCTTCYATATGAGTGGATTATAATGTAATTGTCCAGATTATTTTTGACAGCCAGGGTTTATCTTTCAGTTATTAATTTCTCATTAGTGAGATTCTTGAAGCAAAATTTGGTAGATATGTAAGATGTAAAGGGGSTCTGCACACTAATAACATTGTTTGCTTTTCTTTATTGCCCCAGGTAGCTAAAGAGCACTGCAAGCAGCTGAGTGAGATTGGGCTGGATCTCACCTTCATCATTCACGCCCTCCTGGTGAAGGATATCAAAGGTGCTTTACAGAGCTACAAGGATATCATCATCGAGGCCACCAAGCACCGCAACTCTGAGGAGATGTGGAGAAAGATGAACCTGATGACTCCAGAGGCACTGGGGAAGCTCAGGGAGGAGATGAGGAGCTGTGGGGTGGGCAATTTTGACCAATACACGGGTGATAACTGCTGGGTCAACCTTAGTTACACTGTAGTAGCTTTCACCAAGCAGACTATGGCATTCTTGGAGGAAGCATTAAAGCTTTACTTTCCAGAGTTGCATATGGTTCTTCTGGAGAGTCTCGTGGAAATCATCCTGGTGGCTGTCCAGCATGTTGATTACAGCTTGCGGTGTGAACAGGACCCTGAGAAAAAAGCATTCATTAGGCAGAACGCCTCTTTCCTGTATGAAACTGTCCTTCCTGTTGTGGAAAAAAGATTTGAGGAAGGAGTTGGAAAGCCAGCCAAGCAGCTACAGGATCTGAGAAATGCTTCAAGATTGATGCGTGTAAATCCAGAAAGTACCACCTCTGTGGTGTGAAGTGAACCTAACTTCACTGTGAACAGTGGGGAAGCACTTATTGAAAATGTTGTATGTTGAGTACTTTTTTGGGGTTTTTTTGGGTCCCTGAAAAATGCGGAACTCTTAACTGCAGCCTTCCAGAAGCTAAAGACTTAAAATCAATGCCTGCAAGCATGCAATGCTTTATTGGTAAATGGGGTCTAGGGAAGTGAGAAGGTGGAGGTCACATGTCCTTGGACAGCATATCCTATAGGAAGGGCTTGCACAGTATTTGTGACTTGGGAAAAACTGAAATACAAAAGTTTTGACCAATTGTTTGTGAAAGTCTTACATATACATACACAGCATATGGCAGGAAAAGATTAATTCTCATCATGTCACTGTAGGATTCGTTTTTAAGGCAGTGTTCTGGTAGGAGAGGAAGTSCTGAAGCATTCCCTGGGTGTGGTATTCAGTGAGGCACATCCACCATCCAGATGTGACTCAGCACTGCATATAAATGACATGGATTTGCTCAATGTGGTTTGTGTGATAGCAGTGCAGACTTTTCAGTTTCTTTAACATTGAGATTATCTTCACTCATTTCGGAGGCAGATTGAAATGAAAAATGTTTTTAGTAAAGGTTCTGCTGTTTGGGTAAGAGTTCTGTTTAATTAAACTGTCCTGTAAGCCTGAATTATAGCTGTCTAAAAACAAACCTTCTGCTGTCAGAAACATTTGTTCCCTTCAAGAGAAGTGACAATAAATTGCTTCCCTTCTTCTTTGTGTTCCTTTTCCATGTTTTCTCATGGATTTAATTGGGGTCACATCCATTTGATGAAAYGTGCCCTGTTCCTTGAGGTGCTGTCACAAATGCATTATGGGCTGTTGTCTACTGGTAGGAATCATAGTGAAGAGGCATAAATGCTCTTGTGACATGCAGGGCAGGGAGAGGGTCTGGAGGGACTTTTTGGAAGAAATGGAATGCTAGTTTTGCTGTACAGAAGCAGTACCTGTTGAAGAGACTGAGGTTTTTTGTAAGTGATGTGAACTTTGAAATATACACTGTCTCTGCAAGAATTATGATCTTTCCTGTAGAGCAATAACCAAGAAGAATTATCCTTTTTGCAGAAATCACAAGGATTTGGTTGGCAATTCTAAATTTGATGAGGAGGTTTATACAAATGCTCATATGTTGGGATTGAATGGTGTTGACTGTCTTGTGCAATATATGTCTGTGCAAATGAAATAAGCCAAGTCTTGTGTCAAAGTTGGCTTTGGAAATCTGTCAGCATCAACTTCTAAACTTCTTCCCTTTTGGTGCAAACTTTCTTGTTGTGAGAAAGTTATGTTACAGCTAAGGAACCTTTTGTTAGTCCCTCAAAAAGTGTCCTTAACTGGAATAATCAAGTATCCTATTCCTGTAGCTCTTTCAGATTAAAGCTTTTGTTGCTTTTATCATGGTAATGAATGCCTTGTGACTGCCTGAACAAAAAAAAGGTATCGCTACTAAAACATTCTGCCAAACTGCTTATACTGAAGCTTCTTCATTTCTCCCTGTTTTCACAGTGCTAGCTCAATGAAGTTTTCACGTCAGTGGCTGATTTTTGTTTTCTTGCTCTTTGGATGCCTTTTCAACTGTCAGATTTTGCAAAGCATCCTATTATCTCTGCTCACTTGCTTTTCAGTGGTTGGGCCTTTTGCTAGCAATTCACAAAAATGATAATACAAAATGTTTGTAAAGGGTTGTCCCAGCTGAAACTCATTGAAAGCCATTGGAATAGCTCACTTTTATTTTAAGGGACAGGGACAGTGAGAGTTAGAACTTAAGTGAACATGTTACATCCAAGAGATAGAGACCCACTGCTGTTATTTCAGTAGTGAACTATTTTTCATACCAGAACCTAGTGAAGTGTAGCGAAGTAATATAATCTCTTATCTGTTTAAAGTGGGCAAAGGCAGCAGCCTAATCTGAGAAATACTTTTGAGTGTATTATAAATGAGAACTCTCTGTGGTGATGGGTATTTTGGAGGAGAAGGAGAAGGGATTTTTTTTTGTTCTGTGAACACAGATGTATTTTTTTAACAGCAGAAGGAAGAAGAAATACAGATGGGCTTTATCTTTGTATGTGTGTTTACAAGAGAAGGGCTAGATCTGGAACTCAAATTTGATTATTGTGAGAGAAGGGTTAGGTCTGAAACCCAAGACTGATTATTGTGRTGCTTGGGGATTTTATGCAAGAAGCTGAATCGTAGTTTCCAAATTCACAAGCACAGACATGAGGCTGAAAAGGAGGGGAGCCCTATTCATACTTCTGTTGCAAGCTGGTGTAGCACATCTTACCCACACCAGAGGATGAAAYGTAGAATGTAATTCTGCCACGTGCTCTGTTATGCCTCTGTCACTGAGTCCTTCATCAATCTATGGCACACTGAGCCTACTGATTTTGTCTCTGCTGTCATCCATGGAGCAGTRGGCTTGCGTTTATGTTGGTTTTAATGGATTAGAGAATCTGGCTTTTCATGTGGGTCATCAAGTATCAYGTTCATGTACCTTCACAATTCAAACAGGTGTGCATTTGTATAAATTGCTCTAAGTGGCATTGATATTTTGTAACTTGTGAATCCATTGAGGTCATAATAAAAGAAAATAACATAAAATGGTGTGGAATTAAATTGAACACCCTTTTATGTTAATTTAGTTAGCAGAAAAATCAACATATGCTAAGTCATGGTTTAATAAATTTCAGTTTTGGGATGGTACTTTTCATGAGCTGTACAGTCGTGGAGATAGTGTTGAAGTTGGGATTTGCAGTAACTACTGAGTAATATGAGAACAGTTCTGCTGATTTGAGAAAGAAATAATATGGGGTTTTTGAGACAACTGCATATAAAATCTGTTTTCCTTTAGCGGCTGTAACACAATGGTGTAAAATGATTTTTTTTTAAATTCAGATAAATTTATGTATTAGAATTTAATGCAATAACTTTTCTGAGCAGGGAAGACCACGTATTAAAACTTTTGAACATACAACGCTAGTGGTGTATTTGTTTTGATAATCCGAAAAAGGATGTTGGTTTCAAATTGGAGTTTGCAGTGAAGTCAAAGAGCTTCAGGTCAGTCTTTTGTGAGGGGCAGGTAAGCTGCAGCCAGCTGATGAAAGCCAAGTGTTGTCACTTCAGTGACGTTCTTACGMAGTCACTTCAATGAGGTGATGCTGGAAGAAAATGTTCCTGGACATAGGGGAGAGGCTGTACCCTCGTMTGATGGGACTTTGGGTGTGTGATATATTATCAACACCAAGCTAAAGGGTTTGTTARCTTCCAGTTTCAGTGTCTGGAGTCCATCCACACTCACCTGGATGCTGAATGTGTAGTACAGTCTGTCCCCTCACTAGGTGGAGCTTTGTGCACTGAAACGGCTGCAGGCTGTGAGCAGGCACGGGCATGGAAGCTGTGCTGCCCTGCAGGGTGGCGTGGCAGGTTTTGGGTAGCTTGCTGGGGGCATKAAGATGCTGCAAAGAACGATCCAGATGTTGGGCTCTTTTTCATTACTTGGTAGTGCTTGTGTTCTTTATTTTCTAATTCTTGTATGGTTCATTTTTTTAATTATTCATGTTCTCTTTTTCCTGAGGTGTTTCTGCACCGTTGGCAGGTCCTGCAGAGTATCTCACCTTTCTGCTTTTCCTTAAGGTAGGTACCAGCATGTGACTTTTGTTCTGCCTGAAAAGCATTCTGCTATACTTCAAGCCCCTGCAGAGATGTGAAAAGTTGCTTGTGGCAGCTGCAGTTGTGTGTCTTGTGTAAAATGTTCAGATTATGACTTCTGAGARTCAAGCTTATGTGATGTCTGGTCATTTTACTTCAATATTGGACTGAAACTTCATGCTCACAGTGCAGCTTTGCCCTTCATCACGGTAACACAGAAGGTCCCCACCACCCATTGTTATAACTCACATATTCATTATATTCCCTTTGTTGCACAACTGTTACAACTTTATTGGATTACCTTTTACTGAAAAATGTTAGTAGTTTTGCAGACTCTTCAGTGTATTTTCTCTGAAGAAAATCAAATGTGGAATGGGGCTTATCTGTCAAACAGCTTTGTGAGCATAGACATCTTTTTCCTCACAGATTTGGGAGTTTTGATATACCTTCAATCCCTACAAAGGGGTAGTGGAGAGAGAAACACCACAGACTGTAGATGTATGTAATTTATCATTTCAAGGGATGTTGACTGGAGTAACAGATCAATTCGATTGAACCACCTTGGACACAGTGTTGTTAGCTCTTGTGTATTTAGGAAACTTTGCTAAAATAGCTTTGGCAGCCTCAATCTGCCCTGTAATACAGTTCTCAATTTCAGGGTTCCAAGCTGAGCTAGATTCCCTGCTACAGATATCAGATATGCTCAGTTTGAYGCAGCAGAGAGAAAGTATTAGCAAGGGGCCTGGCCTTTACTGGCCACTGAGCAGTGTTGCCCTTCCCAGTGGTTTACGAGGCTAATCACGGCAGTTTTAAGGTATTTAGATCACCATTCTGTGGCCCTGCGGTGTTTATTCTCTCTCCTTGCCCATACAGTAGGTGCATTCCTTTCGGTGGGCAGGGCATCGCACTTCCCACCCAAGAGGAAGATGAGGGAGGATGGAGAGAAGCCGCTCCCCTAATTTCTTGCAGCGAGCTGCGATGGCGCAGGGTCACCAGCGGAGGTCCCACGGGAGCTGTGCATTGGTGAGCATCCCCTCGGCCCAGGGAACACAGGTACCACTCACAAGAAGATACGATCGCACTCAGTCTGTTCTCATCGTCCAGTGCTCGAGCTAAAAGCAGTTCTGAAAGCTGAGAGATTGATCTCTTCGTGTCAAAACAGGAGCTGGACTCTGTGGCATCGTCTTAGATTGCCCGAAATATAATGTGGCCCTGCAGCTGTTGGGAATCTTGTCCAGATGTGCTAATATCTTGGCATGTGATTAGTGAATGCATTGCACTAGAAAGGTGGACCAGGAAGGTGAGCCAGCTAGTGTTAACTTCACTGCTGTTTGGAAAAATCTTGGAGATGCTTGGATTGATGATGTTTTCAAGTTATTAAAAAAATTAGAAGCATACAACTCTTCATCTAATTGCACTAACACACACAGTTCTTCCTCTGTCCTTCCAGAAAGGTGATCCAAACAAAATTAAAATTCTCACGAAGGTCAGAGAGAGTTAGCAAATCCATTGTGATACAAGGCATGTGAATCTAAACACCTGTAAACTTGGGCAAAATTAGAATCTGAACTTCAGGCATTCCCCAGACTGACTGGGATGAAGGAAAACTTTCCCTCCAACTTTCCCTCCTCTTCCAGTCTTCTGGAGTTCTCTGGGCTTTGAGTCATTCCTACTGTTGCTAAAAATCACATTTCATACACAACAATCCGTGCCAGCCAGATTAATTCAGACCAATGTGTTTTGCTTTGTTTTGTTTTATTTTGTTTTAATTATAGCTTTACAGCACTGCTGCAGTCTGGGGATTCCTGTTACATTAATTTTTCAAACCAAATATTCACAATAGGAAGGAGATGAGCTCCCAGCCCCACCTCCTGCAGGATGCAGTTGTCAGGAGAGTACTTGAAGCTCTGCAGAGAATCGTTCCTTCCTCAGGATTCAGTGAACTTTTCTCTCAAAATGCCAATCTCTGATAAGCAGCTTCCTTTTTTCCCCCTCACTAACAATTGGCAGGATTGCTTGTTTTCCCACTCCACAATATAACTTCTCCAGCAGAGGTGCCAGGTTGGCTTTGTGGAGGAAGGATGTCAAGCTGCATGTTGAGCAGTCTGTACATCTGTCCTAGCACAATTCAGGCTATATAACTCCCTGCCTGTTCTCACCACTGACCGTGTTGGTGCGGAGGAGGGGGAYTGGGGGGCTTGCAAGGAAAAATCTGTAATCTTTGTCCCTCTGACTTCCCCCTAGCAAAAGTGCTTAAACACAGACTGAAGATGTCCCCTGAATTTGGGAAGCCCACTCCTGTAGTCAGAGGTAATTGGATCTTAAAGTGCTTTTCACAAATGGAGGATYGGTAAATTTCTTTCGAATTTTGCAAAAAGAACTGGCAAAGAAAGGGTAGGAGAGCAGCATTAGAGCAAGGGCAGCACATGAGCAAACAAAATGTGTGTCTTTGGGACATCTCAGCTCTAGTGTGACAAATGGTGGTCCCAAACAATTCCTGCCCCTTCTTTGGTGGGAGCAGTAGGCTCCATAAATCATCAGTGCTGCAGCTTTCCAGGAGGCAGCAATAATAGCATTGGACACGCTAAAATAGTCACTTCATCTGACCAGCTGTAATATAGGACACCATGTTAGGGTGAGGGAAATGCCCTCGGGAAAACTACAACACTTAAGGAAGGGTGCACAACGAGGCTGGATCACCTGCTGTTCTGGGATGTGGCTCCACCTGAGCCTGACACCAGTTCTGGCTGGCATTGTCC